TTTTTTTAATATCTTTGAAGCTGTGCTTTTTATATATCACTAGCAACTCCCCCCGGCTTCGCACGTGAGTACATGTATTATATGCCTTCGTCTTAAATCATTCTATCGATTAAAAAAAAACCGCTTCAAAATCCGTTGCGTAGTTTCAAAGATATAAGTATATGTACATTATAAAAAGTAAAATATAAAAATTATGCCCAAAATATAAAACAAATGTTAAGGGTGGACAAACCTTATCACTTAGGGATATGAAAAATAGATAGTATCTGCTTCTCAGACCTACTGAATATGGTCGGAATAAAATCGGTCAAGTTTCGGAGGAGTATGGTAACCAATTGTGACATGAGAATTTTATATATAAGATTCGTCTAAGAAGTCCCAGTTAAGTAATCCCAAAAATACCTATTTAGACCTAGATCATTCGTACTAACAATTATAGACAGTATTCAAAGACATAGCAATATTCATTATATTGCTATGTCTTTGATTACTATATAATAGTATACTATACTATATAATAGTCTTCATAATATAAGGATAAAATACCTTTTTATTAACTGTAATAATAGAGTAAGTCAAGTAGAGCAGTACGTATAACTAACTACCTGTACCCGCGCCTTGGTCTGCGTAGAATTTTTAATTTAAATAAAATATTTTTTCTAAAAAAAAGTTACTTCTTACATAAGCTATGGTTATGCTACCTGACACTAAAAGTCACATCACAATCGGTCCAGCCATTTCAGAAATTAACCGATATAAACAGACAGATAGACAAAAATTATAAAAAATGTTATGTTGGTGTATGTACCATATTTATATTCATATGCATGTAGTAAAAAATTGTTATTTCAATATTACAAACAGACACTCCAATTTTATTTATATGTATAGATTTATATAGCAAAACAACGTTTCCAGAACAGCCAGTATATTATTATTTGTATAAATTTCAGTTTCAAATTATTTATATTTATAAACAATGAATGGATCATAATTACTGATTACTTAATTACAGTATATAATTGATTAGCATTATAACAACAGCTTTGAAAAGTCTGTATAGTATATGTATATCATTACATAGTATAAAACAAAGTCGCTGTCGCTGTCTGTCCGTCCCTATGTATGCTTATATCTTTAAAATTACGCAACGGATTTTGTAGCGGTTTTTTAAATAGATACAGTGATTCAAGAGGAAAGTTCATATATATAATACATGTACACCCGTGCGAAGCCGGGGCGAATAGCTAGTATTGTATAACTACCTTCACCCGCGACTTCGTCTGCGTGAATTTTAACTTTTTTTTTTTAATAAAATATTCTTTCTAAATAAAAGTAGCCTAAGTTATTCCTTATTATAGCAGCTACCTGCCAAAAAAGTCACGTCAAAATCGGTCCAGCCATTTCAGAGATTAGCCTGAACAAACAGACAGACAGATAAAATTGTAAAAAATGTTATTTTGGTGTATGTACCGTATTTATATTCATATACATGTAGTACAAAAGAGTTATTTCAATATTATAAGTAGACACTCCAAGTTTATTTATATGTATAGATGTAGAGATTACACAATAAAACAGCTAAGTCAGTTTATACAACGTGATTAAAAATATATATCCGCAACTCACTTGATTCTATTCGGTTTTTGCAATCATATATATAATTATGCCACAGCTCGGTAGGCTGTATGGAGAGACGATAATGAATTTCCAATAATGACGTTAATTATACCAAATACTGATATGAATATTAATTAACTACCTGTGCCCGCGGTTATACTCGCGTTAAATTTCAACAAAAAATATAGCCTATGTGTTATTCAGATACATAAGCTATATTACTGTAAAGTTTCATCAAAATCCGTTTTGTAGTTTCTGCGTGACATTCATACTTACAAACTTTCGCGTTTATAACATTACCAGCTACTCGCCCTGGCTTCGCACAGGTGTACATGTATTATATATATAAACCTTCCTCTTGAATCACTCTATCTATTAACAAAAACCGCTTCAAAGTCCGTTGCGTAGTTTTAAAGACTTAAGCAGACATAGGGACGGACAGCGACAGCGACTTTGTTTTATACTATGTAATGGTTAGGATTAAGGTGTGCTGATAGAGCGAAATCTCTCTACAACCTTAGGAAAGATCTTGGCTTGACTGATTGTAAACAATCAAAAGTGATAATGTTTTAATTGTACAACCATATGATTACAAAATTAAAAAGGAAAAAGGTGGCAATTCCTGAAGTAAAGCAACGTTTAATAAAACATCTACTAAACCTATATATATATATGTATATATATATACACCAAAATAACATTTTTATAACTCAACAGTTACAATAAAGACAGACAGACAGACAACTCTCTGTCTGTCTTTATTCCGGCTAATGTATGAAATGTCTGGACCTATTTTGACGTGACTTTTTTGTCAGGTAGCTGATGTAATAAAGAGTAACTTACGCTACTTTTACTTTACCAAAATATTTTTAAATTAGAAAAATAAAGTTAAATACCACGCAGATGAAGTCGCGGGTACAGCTAGTTACAAAATAAGATGATGTTTACGTTTATCTGTATATCCGTCTGTGGTATTATATCTAAGCTATTAGATATATTTGAAGTTTTTATTTATATTGTATGATTGTATTGTATTTTTTACATTGCACTAAAAAATAAATTTTTCTTTCCTTCTTTCTGTTTTTTCATTTGACAGTTAATGTTTAACTTCAGTATATCTCGAATCACAAAAACCTACATAAATACACATATATGTTTATATTTTATTATATATATTAATAGATATATTTATGCACAAATATATATGTATATATTTATGTTCATTACGTGCATCACCTACTCCTTTCTTATCTTAAAGTTACTTTCTCTACTGGTAGTGTGGAAGAGATTGATTAGCGATAAGACCGCCTTTTTGTATCAGCTTATGTAATATATTATTTTGTGTGTTTTCTTTGTCTGGTCCAATAAAGAGTTTAAATAAAATAAAGTAAATCAATCAATCATTTTTATCACCTAGAATATTTCTCGATTCCACATTTACAATTCACTAGTTCTATGAATCAAAGAACGCGTTCAGAATAATTGAAACACCACATACTAAGATCCACTCTATCGTACGTTCAGATACTGAATAATTGAGTCACGAATTCAATTACAGCAGGTAGAATCTGTGCCTGAAATAAATAGAAGTGAAATGAAACCGAATAGACATAAATGGCGAGTTCCATTTTAAATCAGGTGTGGCATAAATTTACCACATTACGTATATGTAAATGTTCGCTCCCAACGGTAGAGGAAGTATGTTAGAATATAGTTTACATTATATAACAACACTAGCTTTTGCCCGCTCTTAGGGGTGGAATTCATCAAAATCCTTTCTTAGGGGATGCCTACGTCATAGTAGCTTTATGCATGCAAAGTCTCAGCCCGATCGGTTTGAAATTGACTATATACTATACTATACTATAACTATATATATAAACTTTCATCCCCTATTTTATCCCCTTGGGGGTAGAATTAATCAAAATCCTGTTTTAGCGGATGCCTACGTCATAACATCTACCTGCATGCCAAATTTCAGCCCGAGAATGCACAGGTCTGTTTGGGCTGTGCGTTGATAGATCACTACGTCAGTCACCTTTGAGTTATATATATTTAGATTTCTTATTTACAAAGATTTTTTGACGGGACAAATCCTGAATCATACCAGCGCCGATATATATATAAGAGATGGTTGTTGTCGATCAAATTGGCCGCCGGTTCACTTCCAGTTACGTAAAGACTTCAAAATGACGTAACAAATAAATAATTTAAACAAAACCTGATATCTTCAGAAACGTAGTGTGTATTTATAAAAGTATATTCCAAACAAATTTGTTTTGACTTTGTGCTAGGGATGGTCGATATTAGGAAAACAACGATGTTTATATCGATATCGATAAATAATAATTATGAAATCTTGATGTCAGCAAACATTGATTGCCTTACTTTCGATGGGCGCGGGTTCGATTCCTGACACGGCTCAAACATTTGTATTCATGAGTATTATTTCTGTCGGTCTGGATGTTTGCTATATATAATATGTATGTATTTACGAAAAAAATAAAAATATAAATAATGTATTTATATCAGTTGTCTAGTAGCTATAACGCATGTTTTAGCTAGCTTACTTTGGGTTTAGATGGCGCTGTGTGTCCTGAAATGTTATTATTATTGATGTTTCGAAATAACTCCTTTTGAACAATGTTTTTTTGCGTTTTGAATTACCTTCTTTGTTTTAGGTATTTTCGAATTACTTTTTTGTGACTTAATTTAATCGGAGACTTGACATCTATGTGAAATCATTACAATCATCATCAACAAAGAATTTATCCTCACACACAGAACCTAATTGGTCTCGGACAGTGCGGTTTCAGAGGAGCATCCTTTCGCGTAAACTTAGATTATAGAATGAATTACCTACCCAGGTTTTTCTAAAGACTACGACATAGGGTTCTTCAAGAAACTATTAAGGGTTCTTAAGAGTCGTCAACGCGCACGTAACGGTCCTGGTGTTTCAGACGTTCATAGGGTTCATCTCCATACACTGGAATTTAAGTGGTCTCGGATTGTGCAATTTCAGAGGAACTTCATCCTACGTACACTTAGTGTGCAATTAACTACCTACCGAGGTTTTTCTAGAAACTACGGCATGGGTTTCTTCAAGGAACTATTAACGTTTCTTAATGTTTGATAACGCTCGCATAATACCCCTGGTATTTCAGACGTCCATAAGCTATGGTAACCGTATACCATCAGATTTGCCGTATGCTTGTTTGCCACCTTTATAATGTGATATAGTGATGCAAATCAGCACGTTCGATAGTACATTGTGCCAGTGTACGTTTTATATAACGACATGTAGGTCACGTAGTTGTTAATATATATTCTTAGTAATTAGTGTAAGGTCTACCTTATAAGGTATACCTTATTTCCTCTAGGAAATCAAGATGTGTTAATATACAAGTTCCACCCTACTGTGTGTGTCTACGCGCCCAACGCACCGCTCCACGGGCTGCGAGGGCGGTGCTGCGCATCGGGAACTGCGGCCGGTGGCGGACACCGGTACTTCTTGTCCGACCGGCATCGACACTTACCGGCTTACCAAATCATCCCACCATTCTAAGTTTAATATGCATCTATTTGTATTCCATAACAGTTTTTGTATTATATCTATTAACACAGTCCACTAGTTTTATTGGCTATCCAGGATTTAACAGTGTGTGTCAGTGTGTAGACGCTGTCATCGCAATAATATATAAAAAACATCGATATATATCAGTCGTCCCATCTCTACTTTGTACAAATATAAATAAAATTGAAGTTATAAATAACAAATTGGTAGCAACCTCATTTCATTAGTGAATTCATTTCCGAAGCGACAGTTTATTGTTTAATACAATCTTAAAAGTGAATTAAACAATGTCCATATTAATGGATTTATGAATTGGCTTTCAGTATTATGGATGAAGATGTTTCTGAATATTAATATAATATGAACTGACAGTTTAAAATTGACACAAACATAATGATATTAATAATGAAAACTGCAAGGTAATAAACAATAGTTACCCTGGGTCGTGAGTTCGATTTCGATGATATGCAAATTTGAATTTAAAAATAAATCTGTACAACATTTGTTTGAAAAAAAATACGAACTGAATTTCTTATCAGTTCTTCTCATCTCGAAATCATTCCGAACTGACGGTAGATTTGGCGTGTCATAAGAGTCTGTAATAGACCTACATGAATAAAGATATTTAGAATTTGTTGAATAATATGTTTTTTTCTTTTTAGAACCCCATGACGCATGTTCATCCTGGGGTTCATATTTAAAAAAAAAAGGATTTTTTTTTCTTTCATAATTTAAAACTAGTTCCTAATCCCAGTTTATGAGTTTATTATGTAACTTGGAATTTAATTTATTGCTATTTTATTTAATTTTTCAGATTTTTGTAAACATTTATCTGTACCCAGTTCCGAGTGAAACCGCGGGCACTGCTAGTTTTTAATATTTATTCAGCATTTGCAATAATAGAATAGAAATGCAATGTTAATATTTGTTACCGTATTTTAGTTTCAGATGTTTCAATGTTCTGCTCACATTATCATCAGTGGCATTCGCTTTCTGGGATTCTGGGACGACAACTCCTAAAAGAATCTCTAAAGATCTAACTCCCAGACAGAGTTTCTTTAGATGGGAAAGAGTGGAGTCCCTATACGTAAAGTTTTGGTACAGCCATTTCGATTGGGATGAAATTAATGATAGAAGAAAGTTGTACGTCTTTGCTGGATTATCTATAGGTTAGTAGATTTTACAATACAATACAATACAATATAGTATACAATATATATACAATATATACAATATAATAATTCAGGACAATTCACACAAACACGCCATCTAGTTCCAAGGAAAGCAGAGCTTTTATTATGGGTACTAGACAACTGATATAAATATTTTTTTTATTAATACATTCATAAGATACATAGCAAATACACAGACTCATATAAATAATCGTATTCAATCAATCAATATATGAATAATCATACTCATGAATACAAAAGTTTGTATTGGATGAAGAATCGAACCCGCGACCATCGGAAGTAAAGCGGTGTACTAAACCGCTAGATCACCGAGACTGTTTTATATATATACATGAACAGCACTATGGAGATCATATCGCCATATAACGCTCGTGATACATCTCATGGGATACCACTTTTGAGGAATACCAATTTTCTCGCATAAAATGTCGTATTCTTTTGTTACAGATTTTATTCCCTTAGGTACAGCTATATTGTTAGGCAAGAGAGTTCTCATCACATCTGCAAACTTCTTAGAGCCCTATCTCACCAGACAGAGGGACGTCAGGATCTGGGCCCTCGGCAGGGCCGGCAAACACGTGACTCCCTACAGATACAGGGTATGGAGATTCAGAAGACTAATCCCTCGGAGCAACAACCCTGAACACTGGCATGGTCCTCGTGGCATTCATGTACCACGGCACGATATATCCGTAGTACATAGCTTCGATCAAATATATATTCATGATAGATATTCTCCCAGCCACGAATATGCGTTCAAAGGTACACTATGTCAAAAGGATTATATCATCGAACACTTCTTGTGGTACGGGGGTTCTGGTTTCATAGATTTGGAGCACATCCGTGAAAACTATAAGATAAAATACGCGAGACAGTTTCGAGACGAGATCGTCGATTGCTCTAATTATTTACCCAAATGGTGGGGTAAATTTATATGTATCAAAAATAAATACAGTTTTGCGGGCACTGCCAGCGGCGGTGGTCTATTCTCGGGTCCGGAACGCGGTGGTCCAGATCTGCTGATCGGTTTGGGATGCTTCGAAATTCGGTACAATGAGGATAGGATTCTTGTGTTCACAGATTTGAGATATTATATCGATAGAATTAATATATATGCAAATATTACACCAGGTGAATATTACGAGTATGCGTACCCTGAATATAGTATTACATACGGCTGGCTATATGATGACAATACGAACCATCCATATATACCTACATGGCATATAAAAGACGACATGTTTCCTCTTGGACGGAGATAATCATCAACATTCATGATATACTAGCTTTTGCACGGCTTCGGTCGCGTTAATTTATCCCCTTAGAGGTGGAATTTATCAAAATTTCTTAGGAGATGCCTACGTCATAGTAGCTTTATATATGCAAAGACTCAGCCCCATTGGTTTAAAATTGACAAAGTTTCATACAAATTTTTATCCCCTATTTTATCTCCTTGGGGGTAGAATTAATCAAAATCCTTTCTTAACGGAGGCCTACGTCATAACATCTACCTGCATGCCAAATTTTAGCCCGATCCGTCCAGTGGTTTGGGTTGTGCGTTGATAGATCGCTACGTCAGTCACCTTTGAGTTATATATATTTAGACTAGCTGTGCCCGCACTTTCACCCGCGTGAAATTTATATACTATATGTTATTCTGATGTATAAGCTATATTACTGTAAAGTTTAATGAAAATCCGTTTAGTAGTTTTTGCGTGAAAGAGTAACAAACATCCATACTCATAAACTTTCGCATTTATATTATTTATAAGAATCAGATGGCACTGCTACCACAGTAAACAGTAATCCCTATATTTTTGTTTAAATAAAATATTAGTATAAAATGAATCAGTATAAAATTTTAATTAATTTTAGTATAAAATGAAATCTCGTCCGCTGTACTCACTCCCTTTCCTGCTCATATCTTTTCAATTACAGATTTTAATACAGTTTTCAGCAATAGATAGAGCGATTTAAGAAGTAGATTTATATGTAACACATGCGTATGAACAAGCCGAGAAATTATAAGATTTGTAATACTTCCGTGCTGGGTTGGTAGTTAAAAATAAAATACACCTACAATGCCCATCAAAATTAGTCAAAATTGTAGAAAGTAGAGTTCCTCGGTTGGCTAGCGGTTTAGACACTGCCTTATTTCCAATAACCCTGGATTCGATTCTTCATATAGTACAAACATGTATAATATTCGTGAGAATGATTACTCTAGGTGTTTTCTGTGTATATTATATATAGAAATAGAAATAGAAATAATCTTTATTCAAATAAACTCATTACAAGCACTTTTGAATAGTCATATTTTGATTCTACCACTCATTCGGAATGCAGATTCATCACAAGAAGAATGAGCAAGAAACTTGTGTGTTGCTCTTTTTAATAGATGTTTTTTTTTATATAAATAATTACAGTATCACAAGTAAGAGGCATGCGATAATCAACATAGAAGTCGCTACGCACTCATTATTAATGTAATCAGATAATATTGTCAGTGCTATAGATTTAAAGTTTTTCTATAAAAACATTATTATCGTTAACGAATTCTTCAATTTTATAGTAAGCTTTTTTTGCAAAGGATCTGTTTTATTTGACATTTAAATCTTTTTTCTGGCAGATTTATAACAGACTCTGGTATTTTATTGTAAAACCTTACGCAATTGCCATAAAACGAATTACTAACTTTAGCCAAACGACATTTAGGTAAAATCAGTTTGTTATTGTTACGTAAGCTTTTATTAGTGCAATCACTAACTCTTTTGAAACTGTCTATATTCCTTCTGGCATAGATGATATTTTCATAAATGTATTGAGAAGCAACGGTGAGGATATTTGATTCCTTAAAACACTCTCGCAATGACTCCCTGGAACCCATACCATAAATGGAGCGAATGGCCCTCTTTTGTAAAGTAAATATTGTATTTATATCAGCTGCTTTGCCCCATAACAAAATACCATACGACATAATGCTATGGAAATAGCTAAAATAGACAAGTTTAGCCGTTGCCACGTCTGTTAATTGTCTAATTCTTCTTACCGCGTAAGCGGCAGAACTAAGTCGACTCGCCAATTTAGTAATATGAGCACCCCATTGCAACTTGGAATCTAATGTGATACCTAGAAATACAGTATCGTCAACAAAATTAATAGATTTATTGTCCAATACGATTTTTGAATCTACCGGCCTTACATTGGGGAGAGTAAATTTGATACATTTAGTTTTATTTGCATTTAGTAGCATATTATTTGCCGTAAACCATTTTAAAACATAAGAGAGAGAACCGTTTACTTCGTCCATATCATCAATATGTCGATTGACTTTGAATACTAATGAAGTATCATCAGCAAACAGAACTATGTCAGCTATCTTTTCTACCATATAAGGAAGATCGTTTATGTAAACTAAAAATAAGAAAGGACCTAGAATAGAGCCCTGAGGAACACCCATTTTAATACTAGTTCCCTCAGACTTTACACCATTTATTTCAACAACTTGCATTCTATTATTTAGATAGGATTTCATCATGCATAGTGCTTCATATCTAATACCGTAATATTCTAATTTGAGTAAGAGTGTTTCATGATCAACGCAATCAAATGCTTTTGAGAGGTCACAGAATACACCGATAGCATCCTGTGACCTCTCCCAACAGTCAAAAATGTGTTTCATTAAAGCTACACCAGCGTCAGTAGTTGATTTACCGGCCGTGAAACCAAATTGCCGACTGTGAAGCAGTCTATTTATTTTAAAGTGGTGAAGCATCTGATTGAGCATAATTTTTTCAAACACTTTACTTAGTACTGGTAAGATAGAAATGGGCCTATAATTACCTACTTCAGTTTTATCCCCTAACTTAAAAAGTGGAGTTATTTTACTATGTTTCATTAAATTGGGAAAAACACCGTCAAAAATACATTTATTGAAGATAGTTACTAAATATAGAGCAATAACATCTATAGCGGTGTTAATAACTTTAACAGACATGCCCCAATGGTCTTCAGTATTTTTTAAATTTAATTGTTTAAATGTTTTCGTAATTGTAGCAATGTCAATAAATGTAAATTTAAATGTAACCGGACACGAAGCAACATTGTCAATAAGGTGATTTAGCTGTACTTGGAGAAGAGTTCAAAGAGGACGTAATATCAGTTGGAATACTAGCGAAAAATTTTTCAAAAATATTGACTATTTCTTTTGTGGACGTTACTAGTTTATCATTATAATTTAACGTAAAATCATTATATGGACTTTTAACTTTGCCAGTTTCTTTATTAATAATATTCCACACTGTCCTAATCTTATCCTTGGATTCTTTAATTTTTTTATTTAGATAATTAGACTTTGCTACATTACATACCTTTTTAAAAGTTTTTGAGTATCTTTTTACATAATTTACGAATATATCGAAACGGTATTTTTTTTGATCATATAAATCAAATAATATATTTCTACTTTTAAGAATTCCCTTTGTAGCCCATTCTGAAAATTTTGTTTTGTTACTAATACTGATAGTTTTTTTGTTAAAAGCCTTATTATATTCGTAAGAAACAATATTGAAGAAATCTGTATAAAGTTTGTTAGGTTCATCAGATTGAGGACAAAAATCTAATTTACTACGAACTGATATTTTAAATTTATTTATCTTATAACTAGTCAAGTCTCTTTTTAATAAATTATTATTATTTTGTTTACGTGATTTGGAAAAATTTAATTATATAAAGGTTGTTTAATATTATTTTATCTAAATATTCACTGTTGCTAAATATGTTATCCAAACAAGTAGCAGACGTGGCTGTGATACGAGTGGGTTGGTGGAAGACATTTGTCAAAAGATTGAAATAAACTCATTAATTTAGTTTTTGTGGTGTTATGTGATAAAATGTCAACATTGAAATCACCACACAATATTTTTTTGTTAATATTAAATACTCTTTTTAAAATACAACCTCTTCAAATAAATTATAATCACTATTTGGAGGTCTATATACACACATAACTATATAATTTTCTAGTTCCACACAGGAAATTTCAATACAACACTCAACGGAAAGATTGCCAATATCACTACGTTCTTTTACTTTTATATTATTTTTCACCAATATCATGGAACCTCCTCTAACTATTTTTCTATTGCGCTGACAATATTATATTGTTTCTCAAACCATTTCGTTAAACATAGAAAAATATTTTTTTCTATTGTTAAGAAAACTTTGGCTAATTTTCAATTCTGATATTTATTGACAGTTTAAATCTGCAGTCAATCATTGTTTTATAGAATCAATATTTATTCAATATTTTATATATTAACATTAGTACAAATACTACTAATTGGATTCGGCATTATATTGCTTATAATGGGGTCATTTATATTGTACATACTTATATATATAAATCTATCTCCAGTCATACAAAAGTTTGTAACAAATTTGAATCAAAAAATAAAAACATTATGACTATCTATTATAAATTAAATTATTAATATAATATATCGTAGTTTTGAAGAATAAGGAAATGCACATAAACATAGGGACAAGTTTAATGACAGCGACAGCGACTTTGTTTTTTACTATGTAATGATGTATTTTATATTTGAATGTCCTGTTTCATTATAATAATTGTTTTTCTAATATCATATTCTTTGTATTACGTTTTCTCTATAAACTGAATACATATATTTCCTTATTTACAAGGAACGTGTCTCAGTTTAAACCGAGCTTATACAGTCCTCCGTCAAACAATTTCTACTTTATTTGTTTGTCACACCTCATTCACAATTTAATTATTATGTATTACGAAAGAAAAAAAGTATATAAACGAAAACGAAAATAATATAAGCACGTCTGCTTTTAAGTAATACGTGTAAATTATAATTTACGCCAACATACTCGCAGTTCAAATCCGAAACAAAACACAATATTTCACTTTTGCGTAAAATGAACGACAGAAATGAATTCTGTACCCAAAATAATGGGAAAACTTTTACTTCAGAGATCGCGACTTGCGCCATGACTGATGACTGGGGTCCCAACTTTGCGTTTGTTCGCCATTTACGATAATTTTATTGTTTGTTATGAAAATATATTAAAATGCTTTTTTGGTGCTTATTTTTAGAAATTTATTTTTCTGCTTTTTTTTGTCACTTATAAAATAATAATTTAAATGAATTAACATATACACGATTCATGTAATATAAGTTTATTACAACTTTTAGTTACGGGTAGGAAAATTTGTGTCGATTTTTGTACAAAA